GTTAATAAGGTAGCATATACAGTAACAACAACAAAAATTAATATTCAGCACTATATACCTGTAACTACCACAAATTGTGACCAAATATTGAGGATCAAGATCGTTTATTTCCTTCTTAATAATTTCTTCTATTTGTTCAATTTCACGCCTTGGAATTTTCTTTTCGAAGTCTTCAAAATATCTGTAATAAGAATTATTTTGTTAGGTACAAACTGGAGTTACGTATTAGATGAACTAGGACATGAAAATATACTATTATGCAGACTCTACTAATACATAAGGAAAAGCAAAAATTACATAGGTTGAATATGTTGAATATGAAAGTGCAGCACACCAGAAGAGACTTGAAAAGGAAGGGAGAGGCCAGAAACAACAACCTGAGAGATTATCTCTTAGTTAAGTAACTGCAAAACTAGCTAACATAACCATCAGAGAATCCAAAGGACCTTAACTTACACAAGAGCAGGTTATTGGGGATGAGGTTAAAAGCATCTGAAAGATCACAACACACAGCATCAAATTGACACTGACCATTGACATTAGAAGTCATAAAGTCAAGAAACGTGACAAAATTAGCAACTGCAGATTTAGATTTGGTGAATCCATGTTGGCTGGGATTAAGTTTGACATAATGCTGATCCATATATTGGCTCTGGTATGACGTCATGGGCTTCCAGCCCCTTGATCGAGGTTCTTAAACTTATCACTCCACCCCCTCCCCATGCATGACTGGGTCACGTGGTGTTGCCATCTCCCCTCCTTTCTACCCCTGGGAGCCTTGCTTGGAAGTTAATTCGAGTTCGGAGTTTAGTTCTGGTTATGGATCCATAGGGCCTTGCTCACGGTGCCGAGCCAGCCAGAGTGATTGTCAAATTCCTGTTCGGCTGGGAGTCCAAGACTGGTTTCGGCAAGTAGTGGGCTGGTTTGCGGCCGGCAAGATTGCCTGCGGTCACCCGTCGTTGGGTTTGTAGTACGGCGGCGACTCGTACCAGTTTAGTTAAACCTGTGTTTATAATTTATATTGTGTATTTGGTTTAGACTCAGCCTGTGGCCCGGCTAGAAAGTAGTAGTTATGTTTTCATGCAACCAAGGCAAATTGTTGCGCCAGTAAATATGGGCCATTCTGCCCGAGTTAGATGGCGCTGTGTGCGAGCATGTAAATTTGCAATTAGTTGAGTTGTTCTGTTTAATTTCTTGGGCTCATGCGCTGTAACGATGATGAATTCTTGTCTTTGGTTATGTGTTAGTTGTGTTTATTAAATTCTGTTATTTGTTATTATATTGATTGCCATCATTTGTAACTAGATTTACCTCGCTACTAGCTTGGATCCCCTACTCTAACTTAGGGAGCGTCCGAGCACAGCACGAGAGCCGTATGATGGAGCACCGTTTCCCCCTCCGATTGAGAAAGGGTAGACAGAGCCGAAAGGTGCCAGAGAGTGATGGTGCTGTGGCAGCAGACCGTAAGACAGGCCAAGATGGCACAATGCAATACATGATGGTGAAAAATTAAGTCAACTCAGAGAAATTGTGAAGAACAGAAATGGGTCTACAGTTGCTCACAGCAGCTGAGTACCTCTTTTAAATACAGGTACAATAGCTGCTCCTTCCATACAACAGTCAACTACTGCTGAGTCAAGCTCAAGTTAAATATATTCCCAAGAATAGGAATAAAAATAACTGAACAGACTTTTACAACAAAGATGAGGATACTGTCACGTCCAAATTTTTAGAAGATTTTTGCCTATTAACACTGCAAATACTGGCATCAGAAATAGGGAAAGGAATAAGAACTCATAAGACTGCAAAAGATGAGGAATATCCATGCTTAGTGAAAGCATAAGCAACTGCACGGGGCTCAACTAAGTGTGCACCACTGATCTCAAGCTGGGAGCTGACTGTCTAGAAAATGTGGGAAACGCAACATCTCACAACCCTATGGGCCTCCACAACCTGTTGCAGGGATACCCTTACTTTTACTTTTTTACCAATAAGCAAGTTTATGCCATCAACAGTGAGGATTTCAACCCAAACACATTCAGAGCAGAGTTCTTAATGGAATCTCCCGTGGTGTCATGGTGCTAACAACTCAGTACCCTTGCCATCTGTTTTATAAGGTTTAGCACAGGGTAAAGAAACTAATACCTACTTAAGTCCTATCAGCTGATGACTGTTCAGCTTATCTTCATGCCTGCGGAGGTCCTCAATGGTTTTAATATCAGCATCCACAAGTTGCTTAGCTTTAGCTGGCCCAATCCCTGACACACGTGTTAGGAGATTAATTGCTGTGCTGGTATCATCTTCTCGAATCTTTAAGAAATTAAATACAAAGAAAAAATATACACTGCCATAGTAAAAACATACTAAGACCCCGCAGTGAAGTGTGCTCATCACTTAATGAGGAAAGAACTAGTTTCGGAAATACTGATAAGATGGCCGAAGCGAGGACAGACATGAAAAGGAGAGAAATGACGAATTTGATAAAATAGGTAAATAGGCAAAGGCAAAAATACATATCATGGAGGACATACAGAACTCAGTAGAAAAAACTGGATCCAAACATATATTTTTTGTACTGAATAATCATTCAGAACAGAATAATTTATGAGTATGGTGTGTAGATTTAAGTTCGTTTCTCGTCAATTATTTTTTGTCTAAATTTTTAAGTACAATGTTGCTTACTGTTTACAAAGTTCTATCTTGAGCATTGTTCAAATGAAACCCATTTGACAATTGTTTTGGAGGGAGTATAGGCTGTTAAAAATAATGGGTGCTCAGGCAGGCATCACACTGAAACACTAGCTGAAAGATCCCCTTTGTGACTGATGATCTTTCATGTACACAGCCATGTGACTGTCTGAAACTGGATGTACTTACTAGAAGCAACATGAATGGGTTACGAACGAAGAGCTCTCATACGAGTACTTTGAAAATCTCAGAGTTTTCTTTTTTATGTATTCTGTACTTATTGTAGTTTGAGGTGTTCCTAAGTGTTTTTAAATGTACTGAGGTAATTCCACGTGACAGTGATTAAGATCCATGCAGTGCAAATCACATACCTATCAGAAGAGACTGCATGTTTGTTACTCCTTGTGCCATTAAGTCCCTTATCTATTAACCTAATTAAACTTTTCCAGCATGCATCATCATTCACTGTGAAGCCATTAACCACCTAAAAGTATAATAATGTCCATTCTGAATTCATAACCAGCATATACCTTTTCCAACTTCTGCAATTTGCCTGTTTGAATAAATTCATCAATTTTTTTGGAAATTTTATCTCCAACACCATTTAGCTTTCGAGCCTCCTCTCCAGATTGAATACGGGTGGGATAGGCAGCTAATGCAATTGCTGCATTGCGGTAAGCATTATACTTGTAAATATTACGATTTACATTTCGTTCATAGTTTGCTAGCTCTGCAAAACAAAAACAAATGTAAGTTACTAAAGGAGTCAGAAGTATGAAACTGTGAATATGAATTTAATGAGACACCACTGCATTATGCGTGCATAGTTAGGAAAGGCCTTGATAATTGTTTTCCACATCACTGGGTGGGATTTGGTGGAAATGTTTCATGGTCACCAAGTTCACTATATCTCATGCCATCAGGTTTCTTTCTCTGGAGGGAAATTAGAGGATGTCACCCATAAAGATGTACTGACTATACCAGGCAACATACATACATACATACATACATACATATACATTTGCGTTTCAGATTATTCACAAATGTGCACAGGCACAGAATATAAAACATGTCAACAATCCAACAAGACATTGGAAACTTGTACATTCACAAACAAAATCACTAGCATATATAATCCATACTTGTCAAAAAAACACATAAAATTGTTAAAAGGAAATACAGATTGCAGCAAATACACATACAATAGTTAAAAAGCAATACAAATTGCAACAAGTACACATACAATAGTTAAAAGCAATACAAATTGCAGCAAGAATACATAAGCACAGCCAAGGACATAGAGTTAAAACGAAGTGTACACTGTCAGACACCTCTTGACAGGTCTTGACAGAAAAGCAAGAATTCCTCAAGAGTATAAGAAGGGTTTTGAAGCAATACATCCTTTAGTTTCTCAATAAACTGTTTTTTATCATGTACCAACTCAATTAAAAAATCAGGCAAACTATTAAAAACTTTTACACTCATACAATAGACCCCTTTTTGCCTCTTTGTTAGATGCGATTGAGGAACATGAAGGTTTCTAACTTGTCTTGTTGATTTACCATGAATTGTATGATTAAAAGTATAATGCCCCAGATTGTTTACCATTAGTATCATTAAAGATAAAATATATTGAGAAGCCAATGTCAAAATTTTTAATTTTTTAAAAACTGTTCTACATGATTCTCTGGGTTTCATTCCCAACATTATCCTGATGGCCCTTTTTTGTAAAAGAAAAATCTTCTTAGCCTCCCACGAGTTTCCCCAAAATACTATCCCATATCTCATAATTGAATGAAAGTATGCATGGTAAATCATCTTTAGTGTTTCAATATTGCTATACAATTTCATGTTTCTTATTGCAAAGCATGCCTTGCCCAATCTGGACAGCATCGATTCAATCTGTGACTTCCAATTCAGGGTCTTATCAATTTCAATGCCCAAGAATTTAACGTGGGTTTCCTGATGCAATATCTCATCATTAAACTTTAAATGTATAGACATATTATCTCGATTAGTTGTATCAAATTTTACCACTTTAGTTTTCTTCAGATTTAGAGACAGGCCATTAACTGCAAACCAACGGCTTAAAGAATTCAACACTAAGTTAGACCTTACTTGGATTTCATCAATATCAATACCAGACACTACTATGCTTGTATCGTCTGCATACAACAATAACCTATCATCAGTATTTAATGCTGATGACAGGTCATTGATATATAAAAGAAACAGCAAGGGACCCAAAATCGAGCCCTGCGGCACTCCATATTCAACAATCTCCCATCCTGAACAACATTTTTCATTCCCATTAGTATACAATTCCACTCTTTGCCTTCTATTTCCCAAATATGATTTCAACCATCTTAAAGTTTTACCACCAAGTCCATATACAGCCAACTTGCTCAAAAGGATATCATGCACCACACAATCAAATGCCTTTGTCAAATCACAGAATATTCCTAATGAAAGACAGCGTCGTTCCAAAGTTTCTAATATATGATTAGTTAAGGCATAGATTGCAGATTCTGTACTTCTATTTTCTCTAAATCCAAACTGAGCAGATGAAATTAGATTATTTGTATGTAGGTGCTGCTTTATCCTATTATACATCGCTTTTTCAAATATCTTGGAGAAGATTATTAACAGTGATATTGGTCTATAATTTGCCATAACGACCTTCTCACCTGTTTTGTGTAAAGGTCTTACTGACGCAAATTTCATTCTATCGGGAAAAATTCCACGTTCAAGTGATGCATTAAGTATATGTCCAAGTGGTTTACTTATTTGATTAATGCTATATTTTAATATTCTGCTAGAAATACCATCATAGCCTGTAGAATTTTTCGATTTTAGTGTCTTAAGTATATTCTTTATTTCCACCTCAGTTACGGGTATTAATTTCAGTTCAGGTAAGTTATCATACTTAAGGTTATTTAATAATTTAATTGCCTCACTTTTATCAGCATTTTTTGTTGCCAAATTCTTAGTTACAGTTATAAAATGTTTATTAAATATTCTCACTAATTCCTTAGGATCCGTTACTCTACTTTCTCCCACTTGCAATTCTGTTACTTTATCTGAGACCTGGTTTTTTCCGGATTCTTTATTAATAATCTTCCAAGTTACTTGTATTTTATTTTCTGAATTAATTATTAATTTTTGATAATACAGTCTCTTTGCTTCTCTTATTACTCTTACTAGTATCTTACAATATCTTTTATAATATAACTTCAAACTATCATCACTTGATTTTTTAACTAAGATGTATAATGCTCTCTTATGCTTACAAGATATTCTTATGCCTTTCGTTATCCAATTATTAGAGTCTTTCTTTTTTTTATATACTATGGGAAAGCTATTTTCAAAGATTGATAAAAAAATGTTGTGAAAGATATTAAATTTCATATTTACATTCTCTTGATTATAAACTTCTATCCAATTTTCATTCTGTAAAGCCCGTTGAAAACATACTATGTTTTCCTCATTAATGTCTCTATATGCTCTAACATGATCACTTTGCCTCATCACCAGCATGTCTCCAAGTATCAGAATTTGCCCATCGTGGTCCGAGAGACCATTTATAGCAGAACAAACTTGGAATTTGTTATAAGCATTCTTGTCTATAAAAAAATGATCAATCAATGAGACAGAAGTAGTACTTATTCTAGTTGGAAACTCAATTATTTGTGTTAAATTATAAGTATCTAATAAAGCTTGTAATTGTACTTTTTTACAGTTTTCACTAAGGTAATTTATATTCGTATCACCACAGATTATTGGTTCCAATTTAAGGCTTACTAGATATGAAAGTGTGGAATCTAGCCGCTCGATAAATTGACATATATCTCCATCAGGCGCTCTATAAATACATAAAATACATAATTTCCTATTATTTAAAATTATCTTTACAGCACAGACTTCGAAAACCCTTTCCATACTTAAATTTTTGAGATCTAGCTCTTGATATGATAAATCATCTTTAACTAAAATACATACTCCACCATTCTGACACATGGCACATAACTGCAACGGATGATGTGAGAAACCCAGTTGATTAGACATGTATGCGAGTCTTTCATTGAATGATAACATTGTAATTGCTGCTATCATCACATTCAGCATCTACTGTAATAATATATCACAATATGAATAGAAAAAACAACACATGCGAGAGTTTTGGTATTTTTATTTTGTGATCTTGAATGACCTTGTACAGTACTATTCTCTGCAATGCTATGAAAACATGTAGTCTCATTTCACAAACTCCAAGCTGACCTTGCTATTTCCATAACCTCTCCACACTAAAAAAACTCTTTCCCTTTTGAGCTCACTTGACACTCCCCCATTTTTATTCAAATTTTTCCTGATAACATAAATGCATTAGGGAAGTATTCCAGGTAGCTAAAGTTGTTCACCCATCCTACATAAACATAATCTATATTCTAATATTTTCATTTGTGTACAGACATCAGAAAAATGAACCAAAATAAATGGTAATAAGTATCTGCAATGTTCAAGCTGCTAATTTCAGCATGCCTGCATTTTAACTTTTTACTCATATCTTCGTTTTGCCATTTCTTTTAAGGATTCTTTATCAACCCATAATTCCAATCATTCCACCACTGCTTCAAATTCATTTCACTAACCATGAGATGTGCGATAACCCTGAGCTCGCGTCATGTTACCACATTATATTCAGGAGGGCTTCATCTTTGACTGGTTGTTCTTTTATTGGGTACCTTCGCATTACGTTTTCCTCTCAGCCCATAAATCACACTAATGAAAATCTTCATTGGATGGTATACAATCAACACGGTTCTCAGCAGACAATACATTATTAAATAAACGAAGGAATCAACTGACATCAATGAGAATTTTAACCTACCTGTCAGAAAATCGCAAAAATCGTGATTTGGGTTACTTTCGATGGATGGTGCCTTCCTCTTGCTCATTGATCCAGTTTACGATACTTCATCATTAGCAGCCATAAAAACTTCTTAATTTAAAACTCATTCTGTTTCAAATTATAACGTCTCACCTCTGACAAAGGCAGCACTGGGCATACTATTTACATCGTGGAAGCCGCCCACAATAGTGCACGGGTCGTCTTCTTCTTCTTCCTCTTAATTAATGTATGGCAAAACAATACCTTCTTCTTCTTCTTCTTTTCTTCTCAACGGCTGACCAAATTAATATCTTTCGCCAAATGCGTCCTGATCCTGTGATATTTGACAGGTGTTCTATTCAATGGGGAGAGATTGGGCCCAATTGAGTGGATTCCACCTGAAGACGGAGATAGAATGCAGTATCCGAAACGTTGTTTTAAATAAATCAATAAAAGGTAAAGCTACCCCTGTAACAGGCCGTGAGACGTCGAGGCTCCCATATAGTCTAGACAATCGGCTCACAGATGGCGGTGAGGTTGGTAGTCTTACGCGCCGGGGGCCCTTTACGCCCCAGGAAGATTCCTGCTGTTCATTTCGTTCATTTCTGTTAAAGGCTGAGTCGACCTCAGCGCAAGAGTGCGGCCAGAAGGATTACGTAAATTGAAAAAAATCCACCTCATCGGGTATAGAACCCACGACCTTCCGACTTGTAGTGCCTCAACCAATTACGCTACCGCATGCACTTTTAAATAAAATATTACGAGGGTTGCTGTCCAGAAACAATACTTGTCCACCTTTTGTTTTGTTTATGCATTTATGGTTGTCCTGCACTGTTTATAATATTTGCACAAAACTGTTAACAATGCCTGTTGTTTTTGGGCTAGTAATAAACTGAGTGAGGTAGGACATGGCACTTTTAATTGGGTTAACCTTCTTTATAGTTCTGATATTGTCATTGCTATTGCATTTCAACAGCCTGTGTTGCATATCAATATTTCCACTTTCACACGGGTTTGTGTTAGCTTTTCTGATTATGTTTTGTAAGGTTTTATTTTCCCTAGTGGGGTAGGACTAAGTTCATTTTATACTGTGGCCACTTCTGGCCTATTTTACCAGCCCCAGATGATAGATGAGGGGAATTTTGGAGCAATTGGTGGAATGAATATTGACAGGGGAAATTCAAATACTTGGGGAAAACCTGCCCCAGCGCCACTTTGTACACCACAAATATCACATTACCAGACTCAGGCTTGAACACGGGCTGCCATGGTGAGAAGCTAGCAACTAACCACTGAGCTATGGCGTGGCCTTAGTAGTGGGTTATGACAACCTTTAGCAGTTCTTAGTTCTAGTATTATCAGTTTAGTTATTATTCAGGAGAGTCTGTATTTATCGTACCATTGTTTTATGTGCACCCATGGTTGAACTTTTCTGTAACATTTGTTTGGTGCTGTTAGTTTTGTTTGTACCCAGATGTCTTCTCATTTGTGTTTTGATAATTTATTGTCACAATTTTTTATTGTGACTATGGACATGGTTTGGATTGATGATTTGATTTATTGACCACTTAACAGAGTGTAATCACAAGTAATTATAGTGCCATCACTAATCTCCACACTTTACAAATCACTAGAGCACACGTTAAGCCCTCTCAGTCTGTGTTCACCAGTCGATTCTTGGTAACAGATCTTAACAATTTCTTCAGCTTCTGTGCTCATGTCATTGCCCGCTGGCTAAAAAGTCATAGTCAAAGTCAAAGTTATGTTACAACCAACGGTCAAACAGCCAGTCTGTCTTGGAATAAAGCACCCATCTGGGGCTTAAGACTAGATCTTTATTAGAGTCAGACAGTTGCAGGTTTGTTGATGTGGGGTGGTTTCTCTGATGAGAGGACAGGTCTCTTGCTTGCTAGAGTCACAGTCAGCAGTAATAAGGCTGTCAGAATGTACAATTTACACGTTATTAAATGTATCTATAGACATGTACAGGGCCTCTGTCAGTCCAGACTCAGTACAACAGAACATACCCTATCATTAGTAGTTCCTACAATAGTATTTCAGCCATATATATTGATAAGTGTTGCTTTTTTTTAGTTTCAGTTTAGCTATCAAAATGGTTATTCCTGTTTCTTCTGTCAATCCAGTTTTGTTTGTAGGTGGACATAATTTGTTTGGTAATGTTTGGAGAGTTTCTGTTTGCTTTTTTGCTTCATGATTATGTTTTGTGTATACAATATTACATTCTGAGGTTGTGTAAAGCAAGCCGCTTTTTTATTTTCAGTGGATTATCAATTATCCTTAATTCTATATGTGCTTTTATCATTCCAATTTTGAGTTCTGCATAAAATTTTTCCTGAGTAGTGGGTCTGGCAAGGGGTCCATTCAGCCTCATGAAGATAACTGAGGAGCTATTTCAAGTTAATAGTGGCTCTGGTCTAGAAAACTGAGATTAATGGCTGTGGGGATCCGCTGCGCTGACCACGCGACACCCTCTGTCCATTTAAGTTGGCACTAACTTCACCAACAAGCGGCAGTCACTCGGTCAGTATACTTCACTTGCTGACTACAGGCCACAGAGCTTTTATACCATTTTTTCTGTTGCTGCTGTGAGTAAAATTTGTTTTTTATACTGTGTACTTATGGTTTTTCTATCTATGAGGCAGTTTGATGCCAGTTGTTGTTTTCTTAGTTTTAGTGGTACTATTGTGTGTTCAATTTTCAGTACCACACTGTATGGACAGAAGTATGTTCCTGTTATGTGAAGGCATGTATGTTGCATTATGTCTACTTTGTCAAGGTATCTTTTGGCTGCTGATCCACAGTGTACTTACATACATATTCTAAAACATCGCAGATTAATATGTATACTATTCTTCTCATGAAGTGGTTTTGAGGTTGAAATTGCTATTGCAAAGTTGATAAGGCATAAATTACCAGGTAATGACAAAATTCCGGCAGAATTGATTCAGGTAGGAAGTAAAGTATTACACGTTCTAAGATCCATAAGCTAATTAATTCTTTTTGGAATAAGGAAAAATTGGAAGGAGTCTATTATTGTACCAGTTTACAAAAGGGTGATAAAACTGACTGCAGTCATTATCATGGGATATCACTGCTATCAGCTTCATACAAAACTTTACCCAATATCCTTCACTTAAGGTTAGGTCCATATAGAGATGAAATTATTCGGAAAACAAAATGTATAGTCAAGTCCATATAGGTAAACATTTGTCTGATAATTTCCCTATCCAGAATGGTCTAAAACAGGGGTCTCCAAACTTTTCGAACCGCGGGACACATTAGGTAATTCAGCACTTTCAACGGGCTGGATAAAATGAGAAATTAATAACTCTAGGTATATGAGTTTTATTGAAAGCACAGAATTTCATAAACTAAATAAAAAGTACGTGAGAATAAATTATCATATATTAATGACAACAGACAGTAGCAGCAAATCCTTATATTTTCAATACAAATTATAATAAAACAACTAATGTGAATGATGGAACTCTTTTTGCATTCTTAAAATCTGATTACATTGAGGTTCAAATTTTGAAACACTAATCAGAAGTAGCGACTTTAAATGTTCATCGGATAAATTTACCCTGTATTTTGACTTGATGTACTTCATCTGGGAAAAAGTTTGTTCACACAGATATGTCGTCCCAAAAATGGAGATAAATTTACAAGCAAATTTCTTTAAATTTGGAAATTGCTCAGTGTTCAGAAATTTATAAAATTTGATCAAATTTCCTTCCTTGTATTTGACTTGGGACATCTGCAGCATCACAGTCAAACGGATTTTGAAACAATCTAATTTCCTGAGCACTGGAATCCAAATCAGCAAATCGCTTCCAAAATTGTTCTTTCAAAACTGAAATGACTAAATTTGCAAATGAGGAAGGAAATTCTGCTTCACCCTTTTTATGCAACTCTGCACAGTATAGCACATGAACAAATTTACAATTTTTCACTTGGCTTCCCAGAAGTATCAACTTTGCTCTGAATGCCTTGATAAGTGCAAATAAATCACAGACTAAATTATTTTCACCCTGCAACTTTAAATTCAAATGGTTCATATGGTTCACCAGATCAGCAAAGAATGCTAATTTCCAAAGCCACTCAGTATCTGATAAAAGTATTTCATGATGATTTTTCTCAGTAAGAAATATATCAATTTCATTCCTGAGCTGAAAGAAGCGCAAAAGAACCTTTCCACAGCTAAGCCATCAAACTGCAGTACATATGTCAGGTCAATAAGCTCGGAATCACATTTACCAGTACTCATTGGAAAATTAGTTCAATTGGTGCATTTCTGCACAATTCTTTCGTGGGCCGGATAAAATCACATCGCGGGCAGGGTGTGGCCCGCGGGCCGTAGTTTGGAGACCCTTGGTCTAAAACAAGGAGATGCTATATTGCCACTATTTTTCAACTTTGCTTTAGAATACCCATTATGAAGGTCCAAGAAAACCAGGTGGGACTCAAATTAAATGGGACACATCAGCTGCTGGTCTCTCCTGATGATGTGAATCTACAGAGTGAAAATATAGAGACCATAAAAAAAAACACACAAATGTTTTTTGTAATTAGGTTGATCCGGAAGTAAACACAGAGAAAACTAAGTATACATTATCCTCACAGCACCAAAATGCAGGGCAAAATCATGACACAAAGATAGGTAACAGATGTTTTGGAAATGTGGCATAGTTGAGATATTTGGGGACTATAAGAAATCAAAACTTGATTCAGGAGGAAATTAAGAGGAGAAGGTATTCAGGTAATGCTTGCTACTATTCAGTTCAAAATCTTTTGTTTTCTAATCTGCTGTCTAAAAGCATAAAAATTAGAATACACAAAACTATAATTTTGACTGTGGTTCTGAATGGTTGTGGAACTTGGTCTCTGATATTAAAGGAGCAATACAGACTGAGGGTGTTTGAGAACAGGGTGCTGAGGAGAATATTTGGATTAAAGAGAGATGAAGTGAGAGGAGGTTGGAGAAAGCTACACAATGACGAGCTTCACAACTTGTACTCTTCACCAAGTATAATTAGAATGATCAAGCCAAGAAGGACGAGATGGACAGGGCATGTAGCATGAATGGGGGAGAAGCAGAATGCATATAGGATATTGGTGGGAAAGCCAGAAGGAAAGAGACCACTATGAAGACCAAGATGTAAGTGGGTGGATGATATAAATAAGGATCTTAGAGAGATGGGATGGGATGGGATGGTATGGATTGTACTTATCTGGTTCAGGATAGGAACCAGTGGAGGGCTCTTGTGAATATGGTAATGAACCTTCAGGTTCCATAAAATGCTGGGAAGTTCTAGAGTAGTTGCACAATTGGCGGCTTCTTATGAAGGGCTCGGCTTCATGAGTGAGGGAGGACAAGATGAGTAGGGCATGTATCACACATGGGTAAGAAGAGGAATGTATATAGGATTTTGGTGGGAAAGCCAGAAGGAACACCACTAGAAGAGCTAGATGTTGGTGGGAGGATATTATCAAGATGAATCTTAGAGAAACAGGATGGGTGGTAAGGACTGAAATGATCTGACTCAAGACAGGGGCCAGTGAAGGGCTCCTGTGAACACTGTAATGAACCCTTGGGTTCCATAAAACGTTGGGATATTCTTGAGTAGGTGCACAACTGATGGCTTCTCAAGAAGGGCTCAGCTTCATGAAGTTAGTGATCATCACCGCAGGTAATCCATGACTACTTCATGTGTGGGCACCTGAATTCTTGCTTACCAGTAGGCAGGATGTGCACTTTTTGTCAACTTTAATATTATGAGAGTCTACCTCATTATCTCCTTGAATGTGATGCTGTGTAGTCCAGTATTTCCCTCTCCCCCATTCTTCACACTCACTGCTGTGGGAACCTTAGATCCACCATATGTAACCAATTATATCATGTTCTCAACTGTATGCAAATATCTTAACATTTAACTCCCTCCTCCAATGTCATCAACTCCATGCAGTAGCTAGCCTTCAAAATCTCATGCATCCATGGGTGTCGCCATGATTTTTTTCGATAAGAAAATTTGCTTACATACCTACATTTAAGCCATTTAATACTAATTTTACTGTTGCTCTAAGGTATTCAGGATGCATTCCTAAAGTTAATTTTGATTTTTGCCAATATCCTTTTTTAGTTTTGAGTTTTTCCAGATGCCTGGCATTGACAATCAGGACAGAGGTCTCATTTTTTTCTAAGTTGTATTCATTTATGACTCATAAGACAGTGTCTTAATTGTTTTAATATATCAATTTATAAAATATCTGAATAGTCTGAATATTAAAATAAAAAAAAAAGAACTCTCCACAAACAAGTAGTTCAAATGGAAAATATATTATTATGGAAGATGACAACAGATTATGGCATGTACTTAATTTTTTTATAACACACTAGGTTTTTAAAAACACCATTTAAAAAAGCAAAAAAATATACTATGTACAGATTATAAAGTCATTCTTTGTACACTGTAGTATCATCTTTCGTATCCAACCATAAATACATACATAAGAAAAGAGTGAAACAAACTATCAAGCATCATATCTGATATTGCTAAACTGAGTTATTTCCTTCATTTTTCTGCAAGAGGCAAGATTTAAAACTTTCTGAAAAATATGCAGAATGATTGTCAACCTGAGCTCTGAAACTATGAAATATAATTAACCTTTCATCATAATAGGACTTTTACACTGTGCAACTGAAAGAACATAATGAGAGCAATGGTCACGATTACACATAAAAACACTCATGAATATAGAATGAAATACTCACAAGATTACCTGAAAAAAATCACTATTTTGAGATTGTTTTCACAAAATAACTGATTTACAAAGATGACTGAGTTTTTAAAATGGAAAATGAGGTAAGTGTCCAAGCATTTTCTATATATTCAGTGCAGGCACTGTTTGATACTTGAAACCTGAAAGTCATATTCAAAAGCTCCTTGAAAAATTAAAGTTATACTCAGTGTATCTCCATATTTCACTCAGTGTGTCTTGAGTAACAGTTGCAATAATTGTAGATATTCAGAACTGTAACACTGCTTTAGTCAATAACTGTTTCTTTTCATAATTACATCAATTACACACATGCATGCACATACACACCTTTTAACATTGAACTTAAGTTTAATGCCAATTAGAATATTTTAATATTTAATATATTTCATAACATACATGCATTACTTAAAAAACATACCTGTACAATGAACTGCCATGTGTGAAAAATAGCCAGAGAAGGGAGGTATAGCGGACAGAATGGAGGGTGATTGTAAAGGCTCTATGTACCTGATGATGGCCACAATAGGCCAAAACATGTAGTACATGCAAACATACGGCATGTATATGCAAGAATGTGTTGACTCAGCAATAATAAACAATGTATTACAATATGACGTTACAGTATATTATTCCAAACATGTAAGATAACCTCTTTATCACAACAGTCTCCCATACTGAGGTCAAATTACTGCCCCTGCCTCACATAATTTTATACCCATTCCTTCATCCAGGGCTGCAGTTAAGAATGCATGGAACTATACTTCCACTTCCCCATACCTATTTCAGTGAAATCAGTCTTTCTTACACGAAATCCAAGACTTATCTAAGATGGACCAAGTCTCATATGCATACTGTGTGGAGCATTGTGGAGTTGAGGATTTGCTGCCAGTTCTATATATTAACCCACTTGATATTTCTCTAAAATCAAACAGTATGTTTTGTGTTATTTGCTCCTCTTCTAAGCTTATGCCTAATCCTAAACCATACATGTTGACAAAGTATCAGTATTATAAACATACATATCATACTCAGAGTTATGATATACATGTAAAGCTGCCAGAAGCGGGAGGGTAGCCACAGGACAGCATAGAGCATGGTGTCAGTGGTACCATCTGAAAAATATAAAACATCTGTAATGTGCAGAGTAGAAAAAGACAGACAGAAGAAATTCAATTTAGTAAAGGAGGCAAAAAGAAACTGACATTTCATGTGTGTAGTAGGTCATTTAGTCAAGTTAATCAAGTACTGTGTAACACTGGAAGTTGCTTCTGACTTGAATTCAAAAGAGGCTTGATTTTAATCTTGGACAGGGCACTGACTATCCAAAGATTTGTTGTTGTTTTCCTCAGTCACTCCAGGAAAATGTTGAGATAGTATGATAAATTCAGTTACAGCTGCTTCCCCTTACATACCTCCCAATTCATTATTCACTCTCATCCATTCATTCGATACTGTTTATGCTGAGTTACTAAGTAAAGTAAAGTAAAACTATCCCTGTACCAGGCCGTCAAGGCCCATAGGGTTGTGAGACATTGAGGGTCTCACATTATCTAGACAATTGGCTCAAAGATGGTGGTAAGGTACTAATAGTGTCATTAAATAAACTACAAAATAAACGGATATGAAGTTGATTATGAACAGTAACACATAGGCATGTGTGAAGAAGCAGCTACTGCCAATTTTGAAGAGATACAGCATTTGCTTCAATGGAGTAGAGGATTAGATAGACAAAATAAGAATAATTTCTCTCCTGGGACAAATATATTGACCATTTAGGATTCATTGTGTGTATGGGATAGGACGTGCTTCTCTAAATGTGTATCTTTGATAATTTTGCCTTCTTGTGGGGAACTAAAGCTCTCGATATTGAGTCGTGGCAGAATAACCACTGCAATTGGTGTTGACAAAATGCTACTACTAAATGTAGGCTAAGATAGTTTAAATTCGGTTTGTATATTTCAGTTTTATCTTTTCTCTTTTACTTATTGAATTACAAATAACTAGTGGAACAGATTTAATTTTAAACCAATTAATTAATACATTATTTATATCTTATCAGAGTAAATGGCACAATTTTTGTGGGCAAAGTGAAGTGTGCTTCTCGCTACCACCTATAAACATGGTTTCAACACAAGCAATCATCATCATAGTCTTCATATAAAAAATACTAAGCTTGAACTATTTACATCAACTTGTCCTTTACATTTACACCTGTTCAGATATTTGGAGATTTAATACCTTATGAACAAACTACTGTGTGTCCGATAATTATCAAAACTACACAAGTCAGAGATTATGTATCATAATAGTTAAATTAAAATTCATTTTAAATTAAATATGTGATATATTTTGCCACTTTGATTAGTATAAATCATTATTAAATTGAGTATAAAATTTGCACTTTCATCTTTCAGTGGAATATCATAAACACTGGCCATAAAAAGGATGCCAAACACTGGCATCATTACAAAAACGTTGGTTTCTGGGGCAGCTACAGGTGGTAAGATATCCTGTTGTACTGAACACACTGAATGGTAGTAAGGGCTGACCAACAAAATCAATGGAGATCAGAGATAAAAGCTCCATACTCAGCCATTATATCCCTGGTACTACTGCAGAGAAAGGCTTGGTAGGTCTCAAAATCTGTGACAAGAGAACAATTTCTCCCCTACTACAAACCAAACCCCAGTCATCCAGCCCATACCCAATACTGTAAAAAAGTAAAGCTATCCCTGTATCAGGCCGTGAAGGTCTATAGGGCTGTGAGACGTTGAGGGCCCCATTTTATCTACACAATCGGATCAAAGAAGGTGGTAAGGTTGTCAGCCTTACACGCCAGCTGCACTTTACTCCCCAGGAAAATTATTTAATTAATTCCTGGTACTCATTTCTGTTAGCGGCTGAGTCGACCCCAGGGCCATAGTGCTGCCGGAAGGATTAGGTCAGTTGAAAAAATTCAATGACCTCATCGGGACTTGAACCTGTGACCTTCCGGCTTGTAGCATACTGCCTCAACCAATACAAGTATTTTGTTTGTTGTTTATTTAATGATGCTGTTAGTAACTTAGAAACTTAAGACTATATAGTGTCAAATTACTGGACAATAATGAGTAATGAATCGGAAAGAACGTGGAAGAAAATGGTTGTGACATAATTTAAGGTATCACCCAGGTAAGTGCCTGGAGAGTTTGAAGAAAACCATGCAAAACATCAGGATAATTAGTGTTCTGGTAGAGATTTGAACCAGGCCCCAGACAAGAAGTATTAGTGCTTGAGCTAATTTGTTTGGTATGTATGGACATGAAATGGCAAACTATATCTGATTATAAACAGATGCATACATATTCATAAGGTTTACATACAATATTAGGCCCTGGAAAACAAAGATGATGCATTTAAATTATATTAGAGTTGCACTTACCAATTACTGCTGCTCCAAAGCCCATGTTTGAAACACCCATACGATATGAACAGGTGGGCACCATCAGTTCATGTACAAGCCCAGTATTCAACTGGTACTGCCACACTGGGCCAGCATTAGGGGGCAACATCTCTGCTAATATTCTTTCACCTGTCTCTGCATCAGCAGAGATGTGCCGGGATTTGTGGTCATGTGCAGAGAATATTGCATGAGGACGGATTTGGGTCACAACCTAACAAGAATGGATAGATTTTCTCCATTTGATTTGGTTCATCCTGGTCCATCACACTAGCAATATTACATCACATTACATTGCATTGCATTCCATATATCCAAAGTCAGTCAAAATGACTGTAGGATGTGGAATATGTCATAGAATTACAAAACATATTTAAAGACCCAATGGAGTTCTCACACGAGAGAACCAAGAATACACAGTGACTACACACAAAGCTATTTAAAGATACATAAGTTATTTTCTAGACAACAGGTATTCATCAACAGAGTAGAATGAATGTGTATTTAAGGACCGTTTCACTGCTATTTTAAATCGTGCCTTTTCATTCATAAGACCTTTGAGATCAGATGGCAGGTTATTAAAAATGTTGATCCCATCATAATATGCGCTTTTCTGAAAGCATGAGAGGTTAGCAATTGGTTTATGAAGACAGTGTTTGTGTCTTGTGTTAACACTGTGTACATCCACATTCGTCTGAAAATGTTCTTCGTTACTTGTAATGAAATTTATTAATGAATATATAAAGTAAAGCTATCCCCATACCAGGCTGTGAAGGCCCATAGGGTTGTGAGACATTGAGGGTCCCACATTGTCTAAACAATCGGCTCAAACATGGAGGTAAGGTTGTCAGCCCTACGCACTGGCCGTGCTTTACTCCACAGGAAAATTATTTAAATAATTCCTGGTACTCGTTACTGTTAGAGGTTGCATAAACCCCAGGGCCTAGTGCGGCTGGAAGGATTACGTCAACTGAAAAAAATCCAATGACCTCATCGGGACTTGAAGCCGCGACCTTCCAGTTTGTAGCACATCTCCTCAACCAACTATGCAACTGACTATTACATTGTGTTTGGTCAATATCAATACATACATACAATATCATCACAATGCCATGAATATAAAATTTGATCCTTTAAAAACTACAGTGGCATGCATGAATACATTAAAATATTTATAAATTAAGAAAAAACATTTTGTCAGTCACACTGGACGGAGTTCATTATCTTCTTATGATTTTCTCCAATTCTGCAGCATAATCATTCCTCAATTTAATGAAAGCCCCATTTAATATTTCTTTGGGAAGTAGTGGATGTAAATACTGAAATTAATTAAAATCTTGAGTGAAGGAAATTTAACACTAAGACTGAACAATAAACAGGGCAAAACTTTCAACTGAAGAAAGTCAAATGGAGGTGTCAATGAACATTCTTTCAGAATATGCATCTCTCATTAACTTGATATTCATTTACTGCAAGTACAACTGTACTGCTGATAGAACTGATCAATAATACTGAAACATGCAGCACAGAGGCACAACATGTATTTATTTGTATTTTGTTAAATACCAATTTACCTAAAAATGTTCTAGATAAAAACTGCTGATCTGAATCAGACATATCAATTTAATCTATGTTTTTCATGTAATTTGTATGCATTTTTTGCATGAACTTTTCTACCAGACTATCATTCATACACTGTTATAATGGTTGTTTGTTTAAATTGTGGTTAATTCTAATTTCAGCTGTTTCAAATATCTGGTAAATGTGTTTATGTTAAAAAGACAATACCTGTTGTACAAACGTTGATGGTACAAAGAGCAAGGGCATATGAGTGAATATTATACGTGTCCTATTCCCTTGTAAATGGCTTATATTTTTTTCTCGTTTTGGAACAGTATAAGCTATCCTACTGACCTGAAAGAAAAATTAATGTCAAGATACAAGAGGAATATAGGCTTTCACTGAGGTGAAAACATGAAATCTCATACAATGACAAGCATGTGAGATAAAAAATCTAATATATGCAATGTGCATTCCTCCCACAAAGTAACAGAACATGTTTCATAATCATAAAAACAATGGGTAAATTAATTACCTTCTAATATATATATTTATATATATTGTTGATGGATTTGCTCAAAGCATTAAGATATGGAGCCCCCCAAAAAAAAACAGTAAACACGTTCAGACTGTTGCTAGGCAGCAGCCAGCTGGTCTGGCTGGGTAGCGATCATGTGGGAACCCCAACAGATACGCATGCAACAATAGAAGAGCTGTGTTTCTCTGTGCATGGTTGGTATCAAGAGGATATAAGATTCAGTATAGTTCAGTTCAGCCAGTTGACAAAAAGGGAACTCTCAAATCTGAGAGAGTAAAATATGGAGGCAAGTCCCACAAGACTTGCACCCAAGAAGATTGCACTGACAAGGACCAGCAGCAATTGTAAATGACAGAAAGAGTGTTCCACATTAATGAACCTGCAAATGTCTGATAGTAATAAAAAACTGGTCATAAGCCCTAGATGATTGCTCCATTCCAACACAGACTGGCCAACTGATCATCAGTTGTAATATAAGACTCAGACTTAATTCAGCCGGTTATCAATGGGAGACAGCCACAGGAAGTGAGTAGTTGGAGAAGAACTAGACATCAGCCTGTGAAGACTTAACATGTTATTTGAAGACTTTATGTGTACTGTAGTACAGTGATATCTGGACTGTGACAGTTATAGTTCCTGTGTATAAATCCTTTGCCAGGAAATGGATAGTGAAAACTTTGCAGAGGAATAGCCATTGTTGAGACATGTAACCAAGCAACAACTAGTGAAAGAAGACTTAAAAGACGTATTGTGAGTTACTGTAAATTGTTTGAGATTAAGAGTGATTGTAAAAGAAGGCATTAATAAATCCAAACATCCAATTCAGGACCTGTTATTATCCATCATAGAGCCCCAGACATGTGACAGTTTTTTACATTTCATGTTTGGGAAGCAGCCTAGGTGAAGCAGGTTTGAAGTGCCTAACAAAAAGAATTTCCTGTATTTATTTATGTTCATATTTTTCACTTTATACTGTTGTCCAAATGTATTGCAATTTATATAATTCAAATAATTAAAACTTCAGTCTAAATGACAGGAAATTCTTACTAGGATAGCATATTATCACTGCAGTAAATTCTATAATTTTATATGTTTCGTGATAAACTTTCCATATATCTCATTTCATTAACCCTTACATTACAAGCAATTTGTATAAATCTGCATTGGCTCCTGTGTTGATGATTTTGGAATTTTCCTCCCTACATTATTTTGTGTATGGTACTGCAAAAAGAACTGTTTCTGACAACTGTTGGCAATGCCCTGAATTCTATAAACATGATTTTTCAACTTGTATGTAGATGTAAACAAAGATAAAGGAAAACTAAACATACAAGGTCCGTATAAAAAGTATCGGGAAAAGTTCCGGGAAAATAAATTTATTTCAGATATTGCTACAATGCCTCAAAATTCTTCAAAATACATCCCTTGTGCATCGATACACTTCTGCCAACAGCGTTGCCACGAGACGAAGGCTCCCTGGTAGGCGGATTCCAGAAGGTCCTTAAGGGTCCGCGTGCAAGCCTCTTTGACGGCACTCAGGGTCCCATGATGGCGCCCTTTGAGGGAGGATTTCACTTTTGGGAACAGGTAAAAATCTGCTGGTGCCAAGTCGGGACTGTAGGGGGGTTGGGGTACCGTCGCGATGCCGTTTTTTGTCCGGTAGTGCGTCACCTTGGAGCAGGTGTGACTGGGTGCATTGTCGTGATGCAATTTCCAATTTCCGGCAATGGCTGGCCTCACCCGATTGACCCTTCTCTTCATTCTTCTTAGCACTTCCAGGTAAAAAGCTCCATTCACTCTTTGCCCCTCAGGTACAAATTCGTAGTGGACCACCCCCTGGGCGTCGAAGAAAACGATGAGCATGGTTTTCATTCTGGATTTGCTCATTCGCGCCTTTTTTGGACGAGGTGATGCCGAAGTGTGCCATTCGGAACTTTGACGCTTTGTTTCCGGGTCGTACTCGAATATCCAACTTTCGTCTTCCGTGATGACGTTGTCCAGAAAGCCGGGGTCTTCCTCAACACGTTGCAGAAGGTCTTCGCAAGCAGCCACTCGTCTCTGCTTTTGGTCGTCCGTCAAGACCTTCAGGACGAGTTTCGCGCAGGCCTTTTGCATTGCCAAATCTTCAGTGATAATGGTGTGCACCGCCATCTTATCAATGCCAACACGATCTGCAATCATGCGCACACTTAACTGATGGTCTGAATTGAGTACGTCACGCACACGTTGCACGTTGTCGTCGGTTCTTGACGTCGACGGCCGTCCACCGCGGGGCTCATCCTCCACACCCTGTCGGCCAATTTTGAAGAGATTGTGCCACTTAAAACTGCAGTTTGTGACATGCTTTCATCCTTGAACACTTGGCGAATCGTGCCCAACGTCTCCGTACCCGATTTCCCCAGTCCAACACAAAACATGATGGCGTACCTCTGTTCAATCGCTCCCTGCATTCTGCGCTTGAACCGACTCACTCGACAGGGGTCCACTGAAAACACGGCCTGGCCTCTATGAACGCGCTCAGGCGAATGGCGCTTGGCGCGTGTTAAAGGTTAGACCACCACTACTACCCCTTCGCGGTGCGAGCGTGCTGCGGTGTACAGTCAAATAAGGGAAAGATTTTTCCCGATACTTTTTATACAGAACTTGTATGTTCAAGTTGTGATGTTCTGAATTATGACACTGTATAGTCAGTGTGATTTCAACACTGAAAACTTCAAAGTGTATATGAATCTTCACTGCCATGAAAAAACTTCAATCCTATGTAATCACATTTCTATATAAAATAAGTCAGTGCTCTGCTGGCAGGCACGTATCATTATAACTGATGGTTAAAGGTTATGGTTTATTTTTTTATACAAAATTGAAATCCAATTCTAAGAAGTTCATTAAAATAAATACATAACACTGTCACATTTTAGTGACTAGACATGGGATTTGAATTGGTAACTGAACTTACTGAATGCTTGTAAATTGTAACTATAAATGATTATAACATTTTCACTAAACTACACACTACAAAATCACTACAGCACACACTAAGTCTTCTCAGTTTGTTATGTCTTCACCAGATGTTATTAGGTAAAGCATTCTAATGGAGATTCCTCTACTTCAGTATTCCAACTAACCACCAACTATGAGGCAACTAACTAAAGCATAACATAGCAGTATTTTTTTTTTATTGCTAGTGGGGTGGGACCAAGTCCCTTGTACTGCAGCCACTTCTGGCCTATTGTACCAGCCCCAGATGATAGGTGAGGGTGATTGTGGAGAAATTGGTGGAATGAAAATTGGCATGGGAAACCGAAGTACTCGGAGAAAAGCTGCCCCAGCGCCACTTTGTCCACCACAAATCCTACTTGACCAGAGCCGGGATCGAACCTGGGCTGCCGCGGTGGGAAGCCAGGGACTAATCACTTGTCCTATGGTGTGGCCCAATATAGCATAGCAGTAAATTGCAGCTGATCCTCACCAGCATACCTTTTCTTGGTTTTGAGTCCTGTAACGACTCATGACCTAATTTTTGTTCATTCCTAGACCATTTATGTGTTCAAAAATGGGGCACCTTTTCAATGAGATAAGGGGCTGGTCTTTCTGACTAGGTGCAACTAGCTCAACTATCCATTGGTTCTTGCTATACATTTCCAACAGTTCCTCTATTGCTGCATATTTATTAAATGCCACAGAACATGTCTACCATGCCAGTGTCAAGCAATGGCTGTCTCTTCTTGTTTCACTATTCCAGCTTTCAGCCATCATGTCTCAATATGAAAATAAACTGTTGTGTCACAGTATCTCTTTAATTTTCTCTATCTGAATATAATTTAAATAACAATGAAAGATTTTAATTAACACATTTTAAGCACAGGAAACAATATCTTACCTTAAACATATCAATGTGTCCTAAGTGCATAACATCTGGCTGCTTGAATGTTTCTTGAAACATTTTCATTTTTCTAATACTCAATGGTTCAGTCTCTCCTCCAATATCATTATCACCAGGCAGGAAAACAAACTGTCATTAGAAAAGAGAAAAGTAAGACACCAACAGTCATAATAGTAATAAACCTATGAAAAAGAAGTAAAATGCAAAACCTGAGATTAACTGCTACAATGAGAAATACAAAACATACAATACCAAACCAAACCATGTCCATAGTCACCCATAAATCATGACAAAACAAACATTTTGGAGGAACACACTGTCTTTTTCTTCTTCTGGGTTGACGAAAGCAGAATGTTCCTCTAAGTTCTAGTAACTACCTATAAAACTACAGTACCATAACCCAGAAGACCACTATCTGAAATGTCACTACCATGAAAACCTAAATTTTACCATGGTATCTTGTACAATACTAATGTTTTTCACTCTGTAAAAGTGCTCACCTTGGCCCTGTGGTTAACATGAAAGACATTATGAAACCTTTCTATGTATCTTTTGAACTCATCATCTGTGGCAACACTTCCTTCATCCATAATGTCTCCAAGGAACACCACAACATGTGGATCCACATGAGAGACAGCCTTTTGAAACACTTTGTAAATATATCTGAAAATATTGAAAAACACATATTTATGCAATTCCTATATGTTTATAAAGATGGCACAATAATGCAGAATATCTTATTTTCAAAGATATAAATCTTGACACAGAACATAATTAAAACGACTTTTGCATTTCCAATCGCTCTAGCTTTGGCAGTTAACATTTTAGGGCAACATCCTTATGTTACTTTGTGTGTAAAGCTTTCTTTTGTGAATATTGCCTGTTATATGCATAAAACTGTACCATTTTGAGTGTCCCTTATGTACTAGACAAAGCTGCCCCTTTTGAAGATGAATAACTTTTTCTTTTGTGTATGTGCACACATTACATTTCAAAACAGGGTATGTGGCTGGAAATTAAAATGTTCAGTGGCAATTTAGTCACACTGAAACTTAAGCTTCACAGGAAGAAAAATATAAATGGGATAGTCAACACAAAAAATTATTGAATACTTATGTCTATCTCTCCACTACAATTAACACTTGACATATACAGTTATGGACAAATAAAACAGCACACTTCCAATCACTTTGTTATATTATTAAATATGAATCCTTCATATACACTTCAAACAATTGTTAATTAAATGCACTCGTAACAAAGGTCCTTAGGAGATTAAACTGACTGACCAAAATAGTAAACCATGTCAGAAAGCACACAAGATTCAACCTACACCACTATATCAATGAATCCTGAAAAATTCTGCTAGGATAATAACAGGGTCCCAGGCCATGTAAGGAGCTGGGATAGTGTAGTCACCATAGCAACTGGCTATGGGCAAGATGACTGATGGGCTCGAGTTTGAGTCCTGGTAGAGGCAAGAACCTTCCCTCCTCCATGTCGTCCAGACAGGCTCTGGGGCCCACCCTGCCTCCTATCCAATGGGTACCAAGGGCTCTTTCCCAGGGGGTAAAACGGCTGGGGCATGAAGCTGACCACTCACCTCCAACTAGTGCTGAGGTCAAGAAAATGTGGATCTACATGGTCTGTCCAAAAAGAAACCGAACTTGTTAAAGAGGGCGCCAAAACGCCAACACAGGTGACTTGCAACAGTGGCGCTGTGTAGCAGTGACCTTAAGCTTTAACCTGACACCCGCCTGATCACACCACATTAATTAGTCATTGAGTACATGCTGGTAGAGTGAACCTGTCTCTTGTGCCTTTTGCAATTTTTGCAAGTTGAAATACGAAGGACCTTGAAGAGTAATGTATTTACATGAAATTCTGTTTCAAATTGGCAACACATTTTACGGAGACTTTTCAGATGTAGCAGTGGGTGGGAAAATCGTTGCTGTGACCAAAAAAAACATGTCAAAGAGTCGATCAATGTGAAGCTGTTGTTGATTGTCTTTTTTTGATGGGAAGGACATCGTTCATCATGAGTCTGTTCCATGTTGTCAGACAGTTAATGGACAGTTTTACTTGGAGGTCATGAAGCATTTGAGGGAGCTAGAGCGAAGGAAGAGGCCTGAGGGGTGGAGAAACCAGACCTGGATGCTGCACCATGACAACGCACCTGCTCACACGTCACTCCTCATCTGTGAATTTTTGGCAAAGCATGAGATGACTGTCATCCCCCAACTGCTCTACTTTCCAGATTTGGCCCCTGCAGACCCCTTTTTGTTCCCAAAGTTGAAATCCACTCTGAAAGGTTGCTGATTTCAGACGATAGAAGAGTTAGAAAAAAATTAGCTATAGGACCTAAATGCTATCCTGCAAAACGCGTTCCAGAATTGGAAAAAACGTTGGAAGCGGTGTATACATGGTGAAGGGGAGTACTTTGAAGGAGACAAGCCTTATTAAGTTGTAAGCTTATCAATAAATATTTTAGAAAGAAAGTTCGGTTTCTCTTTGGACAGACCATGTATACGTCCATTCCCCCATACACCTTTATGGCATAGTGCTTAATTAGTTAAGCGCAGGGACAACTTTACCTTACCAAGGTCATGAAAACATCGGTGTTTCAAGAAGGCTTAATGAATGAGATATGTAAAACAGTACTGGATGCAGTTGAAAACTACATGTACATAATTACATTATGTCTTTCCACTCTCATTATAACTGAATTTATCCATCACTAGTTACTCCATTAATTACATTACCTGTCACTATCCCACCGTGAGATTAAGCCTCTTGGAAAATAAACTTCATACTGCTCTCCAAGAATCTGAGGATCAGCAACCAGCAAAATTTTTATGCATTTTGAGGAAGTACTGCAGTGGATGGTTGGCCATGAAAACCATTTTTTGAGGGAATAGGCAATATATTCATTATAGATGAGCACTGCTATTATAATTACTAATATAATTCTTGTCTTCCTGTAAGAAAAATTAAGTCAAACTCATTCCACCTGTTATGTTTGTTGTATGTACAATATTGTTTATAAGCTGTCCTCTTTTTTTTTCTGATATATATATATATATATATCCCAGCAAACAATTGATGCATACAGCAAACCTTGCAGAAGTCACACATCTACCAGCACATTGTATGTTTCAACCTTCAGGCTAAAAATGAGTACCAGCATATATATCACTCAGGATTAGTGGGCTTCTGGACTTTGTCCATCATCCAGTACTCTAAAAAACTACAGGACACGACATTTTGGAAGCTTGATCTGGATTTTCACCTATATTTCCATCTTAGTTTCAGGTCTGTGCATGCTTTATCTCAGGTATTTAAATAGCTGCAGTTATACTGACATAGGCTGTTCATTGATTGAGGTTAGGTGTTTCTAAAGGATCCAAGAGACTAGGTGTCCTTCCTTCTCACCTTAGTGACGTAAATGACCCTGTATCGGAAATATTTTGTTCTCTAGTGTTTTTAGAATACCGGGTGATGGACAAAGTCCAAAAACCCAGTAATTCTGAGTATTATACACTTTTGTCAGAACCCTTTACAATCTACAAGCTGATACTATGTATTTGAAAGAACAGCACCGTTTATGTTCAAGTTTACAAAGTTCACCCCAGAAATGTTCAGCCATTCGTTCAAACACGACTTTCATTTTACAATTTAACAACTTAGCACTGTATGTGAATTTAAACTGACCTCTGCTTTTTTAACATTTGAGTATAGACAGGACGCCTCCTTAGATCCTAAGTTATCCATTTGTTTACTATGTGACCAACGTGTGTTGCGACTGCATATTTCACGAGAAATTACCATAGAAGCGACACAAGCCACACACATATATAACGATATATAAGACGACTAATTTAATCTCAAGGCAAGCATAACAGAAAATCATTACAGGCACGACCTAACACCATACTATCATCACGGATCTCATGCTCCAAGCATCAATGACGATCAATGATCGCTAACGGTCAAGCTTCCTTTTCTTCTTTGCTCCCATTGGGAGCATATAGCATCCGTGAAACGTATTTTTTCTCGCGGCAGTTACTTAATCTGATGATCAGTGTCGATGAATGTCATGTGGACTATGTACTTTACGTAGGTGGTTACGTGCGGTTACATATGTGAACGAGGAAAAAAGAAAAATTGAAAACTCTTTACACGATTCGGATGATTTACATGATATACATCAATCGGATGATGTAGATGTTACATAACATAAAACTCTGTGGTTATGGGGTTGCTGTAGTTTTGGCCAAAAAAAAAGTCGCGCATTATGAAATAGTTGTCACGTATCATATGACAAGGAAATGAACTGAGTTTTGTGCTTGTTATGTAAAGGAGTTAGAAATAATCGTGTATGGTTGAGTACCATGCATCAGTGATTCGATAGATAGTAGCTGGAACTAATTGTTCATGGTATGAAAGATGTAATTTGTAGTTTATTGTATGTTGATGTAATTGCAATCCAATCATCTGGAAACAGTGAAACTCACTCATTCACTAACCAACTAACTGCATGGAGGTGAGTCCTTCTCAAGTAACCACCACTTGCACAGCCTTTCAAGATTTTCCCAACACTGTATAGAACCGAAGGTTCATTACCGTGTTCACAAAAGCCTTTCATTGGTCCCTATCTGGAGCCAGATTAAGCCAGTCCATACCACCCCAACCTGTATCTATAAGATCCATTTTTATATTATCCACTCACCTACATATTTGCCTTCCTAGTGGTCTCTTTCCCTCTGGCTTTGCCACCAATATCCTAAATGCATCCCTTTTCTTCCCCATTTGTGCTACATGTCCTGCCCATCGCATCTCCTTGACTTGGTCATTGTAATTATACTTGGCAAAGAGTATAAGTTAGGAAGCTCCTTATTATGCAGTTTTCTCCATCTTCCTGTCACTTCATCATTCTTAGGTCCAAATATTTTCCTCAGCACCCTGTTCTCAACACTCTCAGTGTATGCCCCTCCCTTGTTTGTCCCCTAATGCCAGAGACCAAGTTTCACACTTGTAAAGAACTTTGTTCAAGTTATCCCCATTTATTTGGCTTGGGTCCTGTAGCCATTGCAGTTTGGTTTGTTTCCTGTAATCTGATACTTTTGAACATCCTTTGTCAAACCATGGCTTATGCATCTTCAGTTCATAATAACATAGAGTCTCTTTGGCTGAAACTTTGATATTCTCTCTGTTGCTTTCCCAAGCTCTATTAATGGCCACATCATCATCTGAGTTTTCCAAAGCTGTAAACCTATTCAAGATTTCAACCAAATACTGTTCCATACCCTCCACCTCATTTAATTTCTTGGGATTGAACCTCACCATTTGAAATATGTGGGTTGTTTGTTTACTCACTGCCAGTCTCACCTTAAAAGCCTTCACCAGATAATGGTCAGTATCATAGTCTGCTCTCCTGAGCAGTCAAACATCAGGTATAGTTGAACTTTGTTTCCTCTCTATCAAAATATGGTCAATTTGATTGTGAGTCTTTTCATTGGGGGATATCCAAGAAAGTTTGTGAATGTTACAGCGTGGGAACATGTACTTTGGAGAATGAGATTTTTGGATGTAGCAAACTACCTAACCCCATTACCAATACTAATTTCATGTAATCTGTTGTTTCCATTTGCTCCTACAGTCTGCATTAAAAATCTGATAACAGAATTTTCATATGGTTGTTTTGGGAATGTATTGAATACATGTTCTAGTTCCTCACAGAAGCTGTCCTTCACATCATCAGTTTTATCCTTTGTTGGAGCATGAACATTCAGAACTATGCTGTTACACCAGCAGCCTCACCCTCTTTATTGCTGATATGATACTGTACCTAATTCCTTGTTCTCATTCCCCTTTCCATAGAAAAATTGACATTTCCTGCTACTTTGGTGCCACTCCTGTTCCATCAGGCCTCCTGTATTCCCACTAAATCTAGCTTACCATTTTGATTTTTCTTTTACCACTGTCATGAGTGAACCTGCCATATACAGACTTTTTATATTCCACGTACCAAATCTCATATCCAGTTTCCTTAGCTGTTGTCATTTATTCAGAAAATGTGTCCAGGTCTGAGGCCCTTTGTGACATTTCATAACAAAATAATTTTGTTTTTGTGAGGAGTTGTTAGTCCCATGCCCAACCCCCAAGGTGGAGGACCACCCCTTGTCAGCTGTTTGCAACTGCTTATTCTGTATATTTGCAGCTACCTTCCATATCTGGAGGCTATCTCCATCCACAACCTGAGGATTCACCATGCTGTGGTGGCAAGGATCTCCCTTAACATGGTTTAAAAACAGTATGGGATAATACTTCACTTTCATTTTATTGCCCAGTAATGTAATTATATGCTCCACAGCATGGGAAAGAATGACAGAAATGCCTTATTGTAGGTAATTATATAGGTTGTCAAATAATACCATATTAGTTTTTCTTTCAGTGAGGGTCTACAACTTCAGTTGTAGCTATGATGGAGGTTGTACACAGTTCAAAACATTATGTAAACAGTAAAAATCTTCATTATAATCTAGAATTTTAGTTCACAGTATGAAGAGATTAAAAAATTGACAGGAGAGATTAAAAAATTGACAGGACTGTATAGTATTTCCACTTTTCATTTAAGAGAATATGCTTTATAATAACTGAACCTGTGGTTGCAATAAGAAAGGTGTCGTACATAAACCGGGTTACAAAACTGCCTCTTTGAAAAGAAACTATCTTAACTTACTCATGGAGCTGAGCCCTTTTTGAGAGGAGCTGCCAATTCTGCAGCTACTTAAGAATTTACCAGCATTTTATGGAACCTGAAGGTTCATTACCATGTTCACTGTTATGTTGGCTATTATCAAATACTGAAATATAATGTTAGAGTTGGCAACATCATAGTAAACAATTTAAGAACTAGGTTATTTCTTGTTACCTAAGTGATGTTTACTGTTATGTGTAACTACAGTTACGTGTGTAACAACAGTATCTTTATATTGTTATGTGTTACCATGGTTATAAGTTTGTATGTATATAAGGCATACTTCTGTATCAAATTTATGTGTCTTAATAAAGCAGGGTTAGAGTGAACACTGATTCTTACTTATCATTCGATCTATGGGAAACTGAATATAACAGGTTATGGGCTCAGTGTTCTCTTGTGTAACAAGTGTTAAATTGACTTAGGTAAGTCATAGCAAAGGATATATCTGGGTGCGTCCCCATGGCTAAATACATTAATGATCCTATAGCCTGTTGATATGGCACGTTATCTAAATTCTCAGTTGATTTTCTTGATTTAGGCAATGGTTTCAGTTTGTTGTTTGGTTCCATTGGATGACTAACTGGTTTAGCTAATTTGGAATATTAAATCTTTTAAGAACATTATTCAAATATTGAGTTTGGGTCAACTTTATAGTTTTCTTTGCCCTATCTCTTTTCACTTCCATTCCTAAACATTTCTTAACTGGTCCCAAATCCTTGACTTTAAAACATTGTTGCAATTTTCCTTTTAAATTCTCAACTTCAACATTGTCATTGTGAAATACGAAGAAGTCGTCAACATACAGTGCTATATTAATTATAGAATTACCCTTTTGTTTGGTATAAATACGTGGTTCGGAACAAGTTTGCCTGTACCCTAGGCCTTTTAAAACCTCTGTTGCTTTCTTATTCCACGACCTAGCGGCTTGTTTCAGTCTGTAAACTGATTTTCTTAATTTGCAAACTTTATTAGACTCCCCCTTAATGTCATATCCTTCAGGAAGCTCCATATATATAACTTCTTCAAGATCTCTGTTTAAAAATGTGGTACAGACATCAAGGTGGTCAATGTTCCAATTGTGCTTTGCAGCTAAAGCAAATAACAATCACATTGAAGAATGTTTCACCACGGGAGGGAAAGTTTCAAAATAGTCTATTCCTTCTGTTCGGCTACAACCTTTCTCCACTAAACGTGCTCTGTGACGTGACATTTCCTTCAGCATCTTGTTTAATTTTGAAGACCCATTTTGATTTCACTACTGGCTTATTTGACGGTCTATCCACTACTGTCCATGCTTTGTTCATTTGAAAGACCTTTAATTCCTCCTTAATGGCTTCTTTCCATTTAGATTTATCGGAGCTTGACAGTGCCTCTTCATATGTGAGTGGTTCTGACTCCTCATCTTTATGCATGGCTAAGTAGGTAACAAAATCTGGAAATTCTTTCTGTTTCCTGTTTCGAAGTGGATATCTTCTTTCTTCCAAGTTTCCTTGTAATTGTTCTAAACCATCTGGCTCTAATGGAACTTCATTTCCTTCATCTTCTACTTGTGTTTGTTCTTCAGGGTTTTGTTCTTGCGGAATCATTGTTTCATCTTGTGAGTCGAGGTAGAAACTTAACGACATTGGAAGAATGTCTTTAAGCTGAGCCCTCTGCTGGTCCCTTTCCTGAGCCAGATCAATCCAATCCATACCATCCCATCCTATTTCTCTAAGATCCATTTTAATATTGTTCACTCACCTACACCTTGGTCTCCCCAGTGGTCCCTTGCCTTCTGGCTTTCCCACCAATATCCTACATGCATTCCTCTTCTCCATTTGTGCTACATGCCCTGCCCACCTCACCCTCCTTGACTTGATCATTCTAATTATACTAAGGGCATTCTGTATATAATGCCTCCTATTTTTTTTAAGAAAACTACAACAGATACAGAAATCATAATAATGCAGTTAAATAGAGCAAGATTTCAGCTGCTTACAGCTATTTTTCCACATAATCACCACCATTCGTTATGCACTTTTGCCATCGATGAACAAGAGCCTGTATGCCGCGCCCGTAAAAGTCTGTGCCAGCAGACTTACAGCTGCAATGACAGCATCGTTGTCTGGAAAATGTTGCCCACGTAGTCTGTCTTTCATAGGCCCAAAGAGATGGAAGCCTGAAGGTGCTAAATCGGGGCTATAAGGTGGATGTGGTAGGACAGTCCAGCCAAACTTTGCAATGTGAGCGGTGGTCGCCAAACTGGTATGGGTTCTAGCGTTATCATGTTGCAAGTGAAAGGTTGTCTGCTTCTCTGGCCTGACTCTGGAAATACGGGCTTTCAGCTTAGTCAGTGTCATCTTGTAGCGTTCAGAATTGACATTCCCTGGTCGTTATCTGCTGATCTGTTCGGATTAGGCGCTGTTCATTGTGAGGAGTGGCAGCTGAGCAGGGACGCCCATGGCGTGGCTTGTCGTGCACTTCACTTTTGCCACTGTTGAAACGCACTACCCACTGAATCACTGTGCTGACATCCACTGTATTGCCTCTGTACACCTTTAGCAAGTGTCGATGGATGTCAGTGGGTACAATTTGTTCGGCAGTGAGAAATTCAATAACACATTTCTCTTTCATACACACTTCTATGTCAGACGCCATTTTGGTAGACTGCTCTGCTGTGGCTATCTGTCGCACGACAACCAAATTAACAGTACATTGGCGGGAAGGTTCAACCTTTACTACAACACCACCAACATCCAGCTCAGACGTTACATATTAACACAAAAAAATAGGAGGCATTATATACGGAACGCACCACGTACTTGGAGGAGTGTACAAGTTATGAAGCTCCTCCTCATTCATTTTTCTCCAACCTTCTGTCACTTCATCTCTCTTTGGTCGAAATATTCTCCTCAACACCCCATTCTCAAACACCCTCAGTTTATGTTCCTTCCTTAATGTCAGGCATAATTGAACAAGTGAAAGAATTTTTACTGTACCAGGTGTTTTCATAATAAACCATTATAACTTAATACTTACGATAAATTACTTCTGAAACGTTTACAGATAATCATTCTTGAGAACTGTCTGGCTCTTCATGTGTTACATAGTGCATTTTAACTGCTAATCTCAGTGTTAAGTAACTGAATATTTTCATATCTAAAAATGAAACCATGGTAGCTAGGTATTGGAGATATATCTGGCTGGGTGGGGCTAATGGTGTGATAATCATATCTCTTTGAAAACGTGATGTGTAATCAAAATTTGCAACATGACTCCAATGTTTACTTAACTATTACTCAGTGTAGTATGATCTGTATGTATTACCTAACAATCAGAATATTTCTACACGCATACATATATGGGTTAATCTAGGAATGTGTCAGAAGTGTAAGGAAACAGCATGTTTAGAGCATTTGTTTGCAATGTAGGAAAGCAGAAACGTTTACACTAGTTTGCTTGGTGTTGCTCTGAGACTTTGATTTTGGAGTCACCTGGTTCAGATCTTGTCATTTGTATTTGCTATCAGTGTGAGGTTTCTCAAGGTTTTTCTCATCACCAAACAAAAATGCCAAGGTAATTCCTTGAAACAGGCCATAACAACCTTAAAAATCATTAGGTACTCACTTTTTGTTATCCTCCATGTATTGAGTTTAATGTACATTGCCAAATAACTGAAAGATCAATTGAAGAAGATTCTGAAGCAATATAATCACTAACACAGAGAGAGAGAGATTTAGAATATTTTATGAATTATGGACAAAGATGACTGGAAGAAGGTAGAAAAGTATGAAATATACAGGAAGAAAATTGAGGAAAATGCACACATGGTATCATATGTAAATTTATTATCTGTAAATTAAGTATGAAGTATACTAGTTACAGGAAGGGTGTATCGACATGGCTATGAACTAACGGTTTTATCATCAGTATGGTAAAGGAATTTTTTTTCTGTTTATTCTCAGCGTATTACTGAAAGGACAGATGATAAGTCTGTATTTGCACAAGTGCTGCAACATAGATGTAACCTTATTTACAATACAGATATGTATATTCCAGATGTTCTGTTTGTTGCAGACTGAGGAAGTAAGGTGAATGGTTGAGTGAAACATTATTTGGCACTGTTTTCAAATTATATTTCAACAATGGGTGCGGTTGCTATGGAGGAATATGAACTCATGAAGGATTCAAAATATAGAGTGTAAGTAATAATTATGTTGAAGAATATGATATTGTAACATGTTTCGTTACTGAAGATGCCGTTCGGATTGTTAACTGGTTTATTCAACAACCTACAAGTAACGGCTACAGTTAATTACAACAAAGTTGTGGGGTTTCACACTTCATAACCCTAATCGCAATAATCTGTTTACACTGTTGCAGGGTTTCACGATTTATAACCCTATTCGCAAATCAGTTCACTCTCTCTTCAGTAGTCTACACATTTACAGTATGGGAGCTATGTAAGTGTCCCTGTATCACACACTCCAAATTAATTCTCAGTTACCACAAACTGTCACTGATTATCACACTTTTACTCGTTCACTGCAGAGTGGAGAACTGTCTTGGCCGCTGATACACTTTAACTCTCTCCGGGGATGGCTACAAGTTAACTCGACTACAACTGAACTCGCCGACGGCCACATTACAACTAACTCACGCTTATTGCTCAGCCGGCTTTTATTCCGTTCGCTGTTGCCTGTTGCCCGCGTCAAGAGCGTCATTGTGTGCGTTATGTCACAGTAGGAATCGGTGCCACGTCGCCGCGTTTGCATATAGCCTAGCAACGCTGTTACCTAACTCCGTCTTACGTCACCGCGCGTTGCGCGTTACGTCACCGTGCGGAGGGTGTATGACGGAGCGCTGACTCACCTGCCGCGTCACTGCTGGAGGAGGGGGGTTTCTCCGTTGCGCAACATGTTACAACAATCCGAACGGCGTCTTCAGTAACGAAACACGTTACAATATTATGGACCATAATGCTGTGTAGTTTGGTAGGAGTCCATTGGCATTTCAGAGGAACATGTGTTCTTCATTTTCATGACTGTTCAACCCAGAAAGGGGAGGCAGTGTGTTCCTTCAAAATGTCAGTGGATTTACGCCAAACTACATGGTGTTACAACCCAAAAGATCTTACTCTTCATAGTCACCACTTCCAAAATAATAACATTAATATATGATACATCCTCATTATTATTTTGAATGAAGTATGAATGGAATTGTTATTATTCTACCCTAACCATAATATGAGACTGCCTCTGTGGTCCAGTGGTCAGAGTTCCTGGCTATGGATCCAGAGGTCTGGGTTTGATTCCCGGCACGACCAGATTTTCTGAGAAGTAGTGGGTCTGGAATGGGTCCACTCAACCTCTTGAGGATAAGTGAGCTATTTCAAGGAAACAGGACCGAAATTAATGGCTGTGAGGATTCTTTGCACTGATCACGCGTCACCCTCTATCCGCTGTAGTTGGCAGTAACTTTGCCCACAAGTGGAGGTCACTCAGTTGGTATAATTCACTTGCGGACTATGAACCACTGAGTTTTAATCATGCTATGAAATATCAAGTCTTTGTACATAATTGTAGTTCTCTTGTATGCTGAAATATTGCTTTATGTTGCCAACCAAAATCTTATGAAACTATTGATGTTGCGGGAGAGGGGTCATGTTGCTAGGCTGTCATGCACCTCATCTGATCAGAATATACCCCATCTTTGGTCCTTCTGGCGCATTTGAGAAATCACTCAGCTGATGCTGAAGGCCAGGGTCACTGAGGAGTACTAGATATTTTCTGAATGATGACATGTCTGTAAAAGTAGCTGTAACAGTTCTGGCAGTGCATTTCAGTTCAGTGCACAGATGAGAGGTTAATGAGTCCAGTTGAATTGAGTGGCAGCATAGTACAGACATGTGGTCATTCAATTCAGTTGAGTGCAGTGGATGAGAAGCTGGTGAGTGTAGTGCAGAGCAAACAGGAAGTTAATGAATTCAGTACAGAGCAGATGAGTGTTCACTTAATTAATGCAGTCTGCTAGTGAGTCAGAGTAGTAAGTCAGTTTTTAGTTCAATTCAGTGGCAGGAAAGAAGAGAAGAGGTGAATGCATGAGTGAGCTGTGGGATGTCGATGTTCCAAGAGACAACCAGGTAAAACTATAACAGGTGTATATATTATCTACAAATGTATAGGATGGCTGGGAAGCCATTTCGACATATAGAAAAAGGGTGTTTGTTCAACTGTATGTTGTTCACAAGTTTGCTGGTCCTGAAAAGGGCCATGTGTTCCACTGTGCATTATTCACAAGACTTGCTGGTCCTGAAAGGGGCCGTTTGTTCAACCGTGCGTGCGCTAATAGAGGTGGCTGCTTTGTAGCAGCCCAGGTCTTCATTATGGCTATTCAGCTGGTCTGGCTGGCTGGTGATGTGGTGCTGTGTGCGCCGGTAGGATCAGCGGCCTATGATGCGTGTGCTGGCAGAGTCTGTTGTCTTGGCGCAGTTGCTGGAGAGTTATGGCAGCTGCTGCTTCCTGATGGCTTTCGATTGGTTGACTGGAGAAGACTGATTATAACCAGTTTTGAGCTTTGCCTTTTATACCATGCTTGCTGGGCGGAGCTATGGTCAGCGCTCGTGGTTGATATTCAGGGGGCCTGACAGCGAGTGCTGTATAAATATGAGATTGACTGACCATTGGTCGCAATGTGATCTGGGAGTGAGAATAGTCTGGTTGACCGAAGTAGTAGTCTGTTGGACTGTGGGAAGTTCCCACAGAGCATTGGCATTGCAGTGAAATAATGAGTGGACAAAGAACTGATATGATAATTGTAAGTGCTACAGTAACTGCTCCAAATGTAAATAAGGGTGCATCATTCCTTGATACATTGTTCCTAAGTTACAGTGGTGTCACATTTATAGCATGTAAAACTGGGTTTCTTTGCTACTTTTTTATATTCTATCAGATTTTTGTTACAAGGGGATGGTGATACTGAATAGATTTTTGTTCCAAGTGGAAGTAGAAAAATAATTCTAAAAAGGAAAGAAATAACCGGAGAAGTATATTGGAATTGCTGTATAATTTTTAAACATAGTATGTAAGAGGGTATAAGAAAATGTGTGTGTTCCTTATATTTTTTCTGTGAGACTGCAGCAATATCTCACTTCTTTGGAGTAAAAATATTGTCAAATACGTGGGGCAATCCAAATGTTTCCGAAATTTGAAATTTGCGCGCGAATGATTATGAGTACATCGAAATACCACTAGGTATCTCCTCACACATCCTTCTTGAATCAGTGTGGCAAGCGGTGTCGAGTTGAGTGGTTTGGTTTATTGTTGGTGAATGTATTTCCACTGTTGTGTTTCCGTGAGTTTGCGGTTTTGCGATGGCTGACCTGAGAGAGCAGCGTGTCTGTATAAAGTTTTGTTTCAAACTTGGGAAACCTAACAAAGAAAGACTTCCAGAATGCATTTGAAAAGTGGCAGAAACGGTGGGATTGGTGTATGCGCTCCCAAGGGGACTACTTTGAAGGTGATGGTGCAGAATAAGATCTAGGTAAGATGTAATAGTTTTTATTAATATATTTCGGGAACTTTTGGATTGCACTACGTATTATTTGTAGCAGGGCATGTACCATATCATTAGAGAGATAAGAAGTGCATACAAAATTTCAATCAGAAAACTGAAAAAGAAACATCTTAAGAGAATTAGACATAGATGAGATGATAATGTTCAAATGGATTATAGAGAAATAGGGTGTGGACTGGATTCATCTGGCTCAGGATAGGGTTCAGTGGTGGGTTATTGTGAGTATGGTAGTGAATTTGCTTAGTTTTGGGTGGAGTTGAACTGGGTCCACTCGGCACAGCATCCACTGATTGGCCTATTGTACCCTGCCCCTGATTATTATGATGGGGAATTTGGTGGAATGAAGATTGGCAGGGGAAACCGAAGTACTCGGAGAAAACCTGCCCCAGCGCCACTTTGTCCACCACATTATGGTAGTGAATGTTTGAGTTGTATAAAAGTTGGGGATTTTCTTGACTATGTGAATGGCTGCTAGTTTCTCATTACATATTTTGTACAGTCGAGTTGCTTGTTGTTTAATGAAAATTATCAGAATAAACATTTTTTTTCCCAGAAACTGTTTCTATGGTCATTGGGAATGACTACCATACAGTATTCTTGCTGTGTCACTTGTGAATATCATAAATGTGTCATATAATGATTAGTGCTGTTGTAATATGTTTGTAAACGAGAGGTTTTTATGCTGAATAGTGTAAAGTCCTGCTTTATTTTAATACCAGGAATGAGAATAAATGTTTGTATTGATTATAATAACAATTAATAGTTTGTTCAGATTATGGTCTCCTGAATTGTGAATTGTGTCTTTTGAGCAGATATCTATATTTTGAAGGAATATGCTAGCTTGGTCTTCAGTATGAAGTGTGTAGTGTGAGGAATTTGATTAGATTGGTTTGTTGCAGAGAAAGTGGTGACTCAGGCTCACAGGAGGGGGTAACGTAATGGAGCCTGGTCCATAGGCAGGTAGAAAAATAACCCTTTTTAGGGCCCAGTGCTGAGTTCAATCGCAGGAGGGAGAATGGAATGTGAGAAAGCTGACAGTATTTTCTTACAAGACTAGACATTGTCACAATGGAAAAGACCACAATCGGAACAGTCACCACTCAAAATCCTTAAAACTTACATGAAGTAATATATGTTGGCAGGTATGTTTCAGCAGTAGACAAAGCCCTGAAGAATTTTGAATATACCAGTGAATGGGCAGATCTAATATCAGCACTAGGAAAACTTAACAAAGTAAGTGTCATTATAATTTATAAATCAAATGTGTTAATTTTGTGACAATCTTAATGCTCTGTAAAAAGTAATTTATAGGCAAGAAACTGAAACGGTCTACATTTTTTAATAGGTGGTGTTAAGCCATATGAAATTTCCTGTTATTCCTCGTCGCATCAAAATAAGCAAGCGTTTGGCTCAGTGCATGCATCCTGCTTTGCCGTCTGGTGTCCATCTGAAGGCTTTAGAAACATATGACATAATTTTCAAATGTATGGGCACAAATAGACTGAGCCATGAGTTGTTCATTTATAGTGCTGGTAAGTAAAATTTCTGATCATGAACTCAACAGATAATGGTGTGAAGTAAGCCTTTTATACAGGTATCCCTCAATTGTTAAGGTAATTTGTTCCCTGAAAAACTGTTTGTAAGGTGAAAATTCATAAATCAGGAATGATGTTCTCATTACTTTACATGTAAAAGTCATGAACTCGTTCACAGGTCCCAGAAAAATCTCCCAGTATTTTTTGTCCTATGTTTTGATAGTAAATAAGCATAAAAATAAGAACATTATTACTTATTTATGATATTTACTGTTGCAAATAAAACTGTTATTTTATTCACATTTATTTTCTCATATCTGATGCTATGAATGGATGCAGCTTCATTATCATGCAAATGAATCCTTTCAGCCACATCTTCATTGCTAGAAAATGAACCCAGACTGCTTGTCAGTATGATAGCAACAGAAATGAATGATATTAATTTACCGGCAGGTTAGCAACTACAAAGTTGATAAAGTGCATGCTAGAAGCTGAACTGTTATGCAACAATTACAATAAATGCAGCACACAAATATTGCAGAGAAAAACATCTGTCTCTATATACATACATACATACATACATACATCAGCGTTTCAGAGTATTCACAAGTGTGCAACTGGCACTGAATATAAAACTTGTCAAACAACAGTCACAAGACAATCACAGATAAAATCGCAGAAACATCAATTCAATCACAGTTAAAATCTAAACTGAATACCTCAAATAAATAGATACAATGTTACACTTACAAGTATACCAACAAGATAATTAGCAATACATAATAATTCTCCTTCCTTAATTTACACTTACACTTACTGTCTATATTAATGCCTACTGTGGGACATCCTTCTATTCCTTAGCTGTTGATCCCGACAGAAGAGCAAAAATTCATCAACATTATATGACGGATTATGTATTAGGACATCTCTTATTTCATTTATAAACTGTTTTTTATCATGTACTAAGTTAGATAAATATCCGGGCAGACTGTTAAATATTTTTATACTCATGCAATGGACCCCTTTCTGCCTCATTGCGAGATGTGATTGTAGGACATGTAAATTTCTTTCGTGTCTTGTTGGTCTCTCATAAGTTGAATAATTAAAAGTAAAATACTCCAAGTTATTTATCATAAAAGTCATCAGAGATGAAATATATTGAGACACCAGTGTTAATATATTTAACTTTATAAATGCTGGCCTACGTGACTCTCTATGTTTCATCCCCAGTATTATTCTAATAGTCTTCTTTTGTAAGAGAAAGATCTTGGCCTCTGGCGAATTACCCCATATCTCATGAGTGAATGAAAGTATGCATGATATATCATTTTAAGTGTTGTAACATTACTGTATGGTTTCATAATTCGTATTGCATAACATGCCTTTCCCAATCTGGGTAACAGTGATTCAACCTGTGTCTTCCAATTCAAGCACTTATCAATTTCAATGCCCAAAAATTTAATATGAGTTTCCTCTTGTAATAATTCATCGTTACATTTTAAATGTACAGGCATATTGTCACGATTGATTGTTTCAGATTTTAACACTTTAGTTTTCCTCAAATTTAGGCATAAGCCATTGTATTTAAACCATTGACTTAAGGAATTTAACGTACGTTTAGACCTTTCTTGAATTTCATTAATATTAATACCCGACACTAATATAGTTGTATAATCGGCATACAACAATGACTTGTTGTCAGTACTTAATGCTGACGGCAGGTCATTAATATATAAAAGGAACAACAAAGGACCCAAAATCAAGCCCTGTGGCACTCCATATTTGACGGTTCCCCAGTATAAACAGCATTTACCATTTTCATTATTATAGAGTTCAACTATTTGTCTTCTATTTTCCAGATAGGACTTCAACCATATTTTTATTTTACCACCTATGCCGTATGTTGCTAATTTACTCAAAAGAATATCATGATTCACACAGTCAAATCACAAAAAATTCCCAATGAATGACTGCGTCTTTCCAATGTTTCTGAAATATGATTAGTCAGTGTATATATTGCCATTTCTGTGTTACTGCCTTCTCTAAATCCAAACTGTGCAAAAGACATTAAATTGTTTGTATATATATGTTGCTTTATCCTATTGTAAACCACTCTTTCAAAAATCTTAGAAAAACATATTAGCAATG